TATATTTTACATTCTAGGACCGGCGGGCCTCTTCATTGCGAACTTATTGCTGTGGTTAACATAAAGACAAAGTGGACAATTGCTGTTTGTTTTGAGCAACCATATAAGCAACTGAAGTGTAAGTATCAAAGGCAGGTAGTATAATATCCGCCAAAATACCGTCCTGTAAAAATAATAGTCAACACTCTCTGAAACATATGGTTGGCGGAAGTAATGAAAAAATTCCTACTATGAAAGTGGAGGCAGAGTTCAGCAAACCCCCAATTTATGAACACTTACCGTAGAAGAAAAACTTCTTCTATAAAAATAGGATTGTTGTGATACACTGAGATGGGACCGTGGTTTTTGATGAAAATGTATGAGGATCTCAAACAAATCCTATCGTTGGAGAAAGCATATTAGCAATCCGTACCGTTCACCACCGTAGCACCATCTGACGGACTGCGGAACCAACCCTCAGGTGAGTGAGAGAAGAGGGTGCCCAAAATAGTCCGTGAGCGATTGTCCGTGCAGTTTTTGGAATTTGGAATTTATATTTGTTAGCACCATGAAGGCACTACCGGTACAGAAATTAGCTTCGTAGCCAAATTTTGACGGTGGGCAGATAAATGTAAAAATTTGTAATGATGTAAACAGGTATTGCACTTTTAAGGCAATATTTGGCGATGTTTTGCTATTAATGGTGAACAAAAAAGTAGATAGCTCGTCGTCAATACGTAGGGAGGCCTTCAGCTGGCATGTCAACTACTCGACTATCTCGTTAGCAGCCGGGTGATAGACTGTCGTGCGCAGGCGAGTAGGGCCTAAAAATGAAGGCAGAGACTAGAAGGAGTGAGGTATAAATTGGACACCACTGTCAGTCATGATGCTGGAATGGGCAACAAAATGGCAACCCAATGTCTGTGAAAAGCCTTAACAACTGTCAAATCACAGATGTCAGGCGGTTGGATAGCCCTCGACCCCGAGGTGAATCGATTAGACACAGGAGGAGCTGGAAACTACCATGCGACAGAGGCAGGATGCATATAATGTGGTCGTGACTGAACCTGGCACAAGGATCGGAGAAGATGCTAATTTTGCCTTGTTGTATCGGTGCACCTTGCTTCGTTATCGGATGAAGCAAGCCTGTCTCCAAGATTTTAGGTCATAATACGCCCCAGGCGAGGCGAAGCTGTAAGAAACCAACTTGTCAGAACTTTGACAATGAGAGCGAGATAGGCTGTGCAGAGTAGAGAAAACTTTGCGGTTAGGCGATGGTAGGAATAATAAATGACGAGGTGTGGTGCGCACATCACAGAGAATGCTTCCGTTTTCAGTGGCAATTCTTGTAGTTGGAGTGCGGAAGCATCCTCGTCAAGTAGAAAGCCAACACAGCTTTGTTTGGCAGCCGTATCCCATAAATCTTTTATAACTTGATATGAGACGTTTTGTTTGCATTTGGCGTACTTAACTACTGTTGGGTCATCCGCCATGCGTGGTCGAAACTTTCTTTTAATGCTCTTTAATCAAGTCCGCCAGGTTCTTTTTCGTTCTGTGCTGAAGTGCATTGGGCTATTAATGATTAAGGTTTACCACACGATAGACCGATCGTAGCCGTGGTTTGCTATTTATCAATCAATGATGTACGTTTATAAGACACATACTTTAAGGTCGAATTCACCAAGCAATTTGTGTTTAGTTGGATACATTTTGGATCCTCCCAGTGCTATAGCTATAGCTGACTGGATACATATAGTGTATCTGGCTCCATAATTATAAGCTTGAGCTTATAGGTCCAGCAGCTTTTTTGAAGTTCGTCTTCTGAACTTTCAGCATCAAGGCTGTTGCCTATTATTGTTTGC